TTAATAGTTGGTTATTTTCCATTTGAAATAGAAAATTTAATTGCGAGGTGAATGCTTCTTAATTGCAATTGAAGACTTGAGCAAATTTGGGATTGACTGTGTATGTTGACAGAAGTGGGAACACGATGCTGCAAAATGTATTAATACAAAACAAACTGATTACAGTATCCTAGAATTCTAGTTTCTTACATTACAGGCCAGATTAAAAATGAGTCAGATATCAGAAATCTGGATGGGAACCTCAGGTATAGTCTTCAGTATAGTCAAGTAACATCCAATTTTTAAAATCTTTTAAAAGAAATGAACTGAAAAAATATGGCTGTGTTTCATTTTTCAGTTGTCTTACCCTCGTTTGAGAAAATCCTATGTGATTTCAGTTGTAATTCTAACATGATAAACATAGGTTGCATCTGTTTTAAGTGGCAATAGTATCTTTAGCAATATCAATAGCACATAAACTTATATACAGCTTCACAATGCTTTACAGCTCTCTCTAAGCAGTTTACAGAGTCAGCCAATTGCCCCCAACAATCTGGGTCCTCATTTTACCCACCTCAGAAGGATGGAAAGCTGAGTCAACCTTGAACCTGTTAGAATCAAAGTGTCACTGTGGCTCTTTACACTAGCACTGCAGTAGCACCTAAAATTATATTAATCTTTATGCTATCTTCTCAGTAGCATCTAAAATTGTGTTAATCCCAATATACAGTAGAACTAGTAGGCAGCACTGACATCTTTCATTCAATAAATGAAAATCTGTTCTAAAGACTCTTGCCAAATTCATTCTTACGCTATCAGTTCTAAAGTCTAATTATCAATATATACCTTAGGTTGTAAATAGCCATCACAAATTTTAGGTTTGATTTTCATTTCTTTAATGAGCATCTGGACAATGTTAACCTCAGAGCCAGTATGTTTCTGTTACACTGGTTTTGCATGTTTTCCAATTGTGGGCTGCTTATTTTGTATCATTTAAATTGAGTCTTAGGTTTTTTTCAGTCCATCTTCCATTTGCTTTGGCCATATTTTTGTTGGTGCTGTTCACTGAAACTTCCTCTGTGTGGATTACTTTTTCCATAGTGATCTGTGAAGGTGATGTTCTTCCATTCTGCATACATGTCCAAACCATCTTAATCTGCATGTTGTATTTCAACCTCTCTTATAGGTTATTTACTGAATCTCATTCTTACAGTATCTTCAGACAGTTGTGGAGGGAGGTTCCAGAGGATGCTGTTGATGTCACATTAGGAAACCATCAAGCTTTTTCAGGCCTGCATTTAACCATGCCCATGTCTCAAATCTGTAAGATTTGAGCAAGACCAGCAGGACAGTGCCTACAATCTTAGTTTTCAGTGAAACGAGGCACCACATTAACAATTCAAAGAAAAGAAGTAGCCCTGCCAATTCTGATGTGTACTCCTCCTTTTGATGCTGATTTCTGTTCTTCCACCAGTGACTCAGGAAACTTGAACTAATTAACCCACTCTATTTCAACTCTGTTGGATAGACAGTCTGCTGATGCAATAGGTACTTCTCTAAAAATATATGTATATATATATACAGTACATTCTCTCCCCCCCCCCATAAAGGGAGAGAGAGAGAAAGATAGAAGAGCAACGTGTCATATTATTATTTTACATTTCACACTAGTGCAATGAATTTGGGGGGAAAACACTGCTTCAATTTTGCTGAAGAGAAAGGAAGAATGGCTAGAAAACCTATTACACCCTTTGTCAGTTTTTCAACTGATGTTTCTACCGCATATGCTAATTACTGATACTTGCTCTCTCTCACACACACACACACCAACACTCACTGGGTCCAATCCAATAAGATTTATTTAAAAAGCGCAGATTTACTATTGAAAGAGAGTTCTTAAGCATCCATGAAATATTTAAAGTTAATCACAAGCATACTAAAAAGCATTAAGATAACAGCTTCACACTGACAAGCCTCAAATAGGCAGCTTGCCAAACTGTCTATTACTAATCTGGGTTGGCACTGTTCCCCAAAGCAGGAATTCCATTTTTATCTCTATGTCCTTCAAGTAGCTACATTAAGTTGTTTTAAAACGTAATTTTGCAAACAACTGTTTGAATAACATCACATTTCTGTCAATGCCTGCTTTCAGATCTCTCTCTTTGATGCCACTACCTTTGAGGATAACAGAGCCAAACATCAGTCCAAGTAGTGAGTCTTGCTGTCATGGAGATTCCTTTGTTCCTTTAACTGTGAAAAAGGTTTTCTGGCCCTATAACTTTTATTACTAAACCAAAAAGACAGTCTCCCACTGCAAACAAAGGCAATTCTAGTCTGTTTAGAGTTTCAGCAGGTAGGGGAGTAAGAATATTAGTGATTTTTGAAGAAGAACTGAAGAATGCAGGCTTAAACTTCCAGTGAGTGGTAAAGAAAATGCCAAATTGCAGGAACAGGGTAGCTGAAGTCTCTCTGGAGTTAAAGAGAGATAATCTGATCACCCGTATGTGCTCTGTGTAGCTGCTTTTTTGTGAGGATGGCAGGAACTGTGTTTTTGCAGTAGGCCTGCTATCAGCTGGGAGTCACATTACGTTGTGTTTACAGCCACTAATATTGCCTATATGGATTTTAAATTCAACTGGCTTGTCTCTTCTTAATCACTTTGAATTTTATTTATTTATTATTCTTTGGCTTTCTTTAAAGATTGAGAACCTTCAGACTGACACATTTTATGAAAATTGCTGGTTGAGTGTCCTTCAATCCTTTAAAAAAAGCAGTTTAACTACAAGTATAAAGATCTGTATTTTCTGGAATATACAGCAAAAGGATGATTATCCTTGATTTTAGAAAGTTTCAAACAGATTAGGGACACGGATAGATTTAAGATTTGGACATTGATTGAAAGGATTCTCTCCCCTGGGGAAAATTGTTCTGTTTATAATCTGTACTGATTCAAAAGACTTTGAAGATTAGACATTAGAGGGCACCAGAAGTCTACTTTGAAAGAAATGCCATTTCATTCATGGTAACATGAAGTTTTTGACCTATTTAACTCTTAACTAGCAGTGCTGATGTAATTGCAGAGGATTAAGCCCCACTGAATAAAACTGAAATTGATTTATAGATGGAATTAAAAATCACAGTTTGTAAGAGATGGAAACAATGGATTTATAAATGAAAGTTGATTATTCAAAATTGAAAAAGAAACACAAATAATAAACCAGATGAGTGATTTGGATTATTCCCTTACACTAAATTTAAAAGAGTGGTTTGCTGGGTCTGCTGGAAATAAAAGAAGGGTTTACTGGTAGTACAAAGAGAACTTGATAAAAATGAAGAAAAGAACTCTGAGAGGAAGAGCATATAAGAAGACAGATGCTAGAACTTTCTTTGAGGATTTTAAAAGACTGTCCACAGAAAGTTTATAAAATTAATTTATTTCTCTAAGGTTAAAAGATTATTTTGGGGAATGTTGAATAGCTTCTTGATTAGGACTGGATTATGATGGCTATTTCTGGTAATGCTTAATTATTTTTGAGTGAGGTTGAATTTTTATTATTTTAAGAGAGATGAGATTTATTTAAAGAGAAAGGATGGTTTCAATCTGGATACAGCAGATAAATTGTAATATTTATGTTGTCATTTCTTACAATCCCTGCTGGACTTTTGTGGTTTAATAGCGAGGGATGAGGTTTTAAAGAGGGGTTTGTAGATACTGGGGAAAATTATGGAATGAAGAGATGTTAGATTTTAAGAGTTAGTGGTAAGTTCTTAATATTATACTTGCTGGGGATGAAGGGGAAGATTTTTTTTTACCTTTTTCTTCTGTTAATGCTCTTCTGCACCTTATTTTTTATTTATTTTTCTTTAATGTATCTATTTTGTAGTTGTATAAGTTTTACCTATATAATATAATCTCTAATAAAATCATTGAAAAAAGAATACCTGCTTATTAATACTTAATACTTCCCCTTTTCTAAGTCCAACTTTGAGGAGAACAGAGACAGGGACAATATGATACCATCATATTATATCAACAGTATCAGGCATTCCAAAGGCAGCTTTAAAAAGCTCTGTTACGTTTGTTTCATAAATTCTCCGCAACTACAAGAAAACAATACTTAAGCAGCATTATTTCATCCACACTGATACACTTCATTTGACTAGATCCATCCATGTGGCTCAGGAGTTGTGGGAGTTGAAGTTCATAGATTGTAAAAGGACCATAGTTCCCCACCCCTGCTTTGTCCATCATCAACCCATAAATTAATTCTGAACCACCGTGGAAAGCATTTTGATGGGGAAATCTTGACAAATATTGTAACATAAAATGCATAAAACAAATTGAATCCAATCAGTTTGATAGCAAGGGAGAAGGAATGGGATGGTGGATTTGCCTCTCAGAGATCACACCTGTATCTTTATATGGAAAAAGCCACATAATCCTATGGCCTTAAGGACCACTGCTTCTATGATCGTAAATTACAACTAAATTACATTTATCAGTCAAACTGAAGTCAGACATATGTTCTTTTTAAAATGAAAAATACTTGTGAATCTTATTTGAAAGTTGAGACTAGTAAGAGACTCTTGTAAGAGGTGATTAGAGGTGGAGCTCTTGCCTCACGATCAGGAAGCTGTGAGTTCGATCCTAAGTAGAGGCTAATATTAATAAATTCTCTTGCTCGAGTAGGGGACTAGATGACCTCCAAGGTCCCTTCTAACTCTGTTATTCTATATTCTGTTTTCAAGACATTTCTAAATCTACTTTTTAAGTTAGCATAACTTGAAAACCACCAAGTTTTTGTTTTTGTCTAATATAGTTTTTGTTTTTGTCTATATTTTGTCTGAGGGTCAACAAGACTAGGAGAAAAAACACCTTTTATATCTCTATTAACAAGGCAAATTATGCATATTTTCATATCTAGGTACATCTAAAACAGTTTGCACTCTTGCTAAATTACAAATTGTTGGGCATAAAATCCTATTAACAAACAGTAATAACATATAAAGCAACCAATCACCTGCCAATTGGAGTCCTTAGCTTCTTCAGTGGGTAGTGGGATAACTAAAAGATTCTGAAGGATAAATGCAGCCTACAAAGAAAAGAAAAAAGACAAAAATCAACAGTGCCATCTGGCTGCAGTTAAAAGAACCTAGGCTAGTACATACTAAATCAATGCAATGCAAAGTATACATTAAATTCATACCGTATATTTTTTCTGTTTTAAGCGTTTGGCTATGCAGTGGATTATTTAAAAAGAAATCAATTTTTGCATTTTTTTTTTAGTAGAATTGAAGCAGAGAGAGAAAATTTCCTTTCTATGCAATTTTTCCAACAAGTTCTTACACAGATCAACAGCTTAAAAAGATGACAGTATTTGTAATTCAGCTACTATTACATTTATTTTTAGTGCTAATGTTTTAATTGTTACAGTTCAGTCCGAAAATTGCTTCATATTGCTTAATTTTTCATAATGGCTAATTTTGTTGGCTTACACTGTGGAGAAAGATCCCTTAAAATTATTATGGAAAATGGTTTCATTATTTTACATTTCTCTCCTGGGAAATTGCAATCCCAGAATGCCTAGATGGCCCGTCTAGAGGCATCTTATGCTGTGTGAAAAACAGGAGTAAGAAAGGTCTTGGGGAAAACACAAAAAGTGGTTTAATGACCTTATTGGATATAGGTATAGGAAATATCCTATTCTCATATATATACATATACACACATGCGTGCACACACACACACACACACACACATGTTTTCTGAGGTTCTCGCGGGTATTTGTATGTGGATCTTTGGTTATTCGGGTTTTCTCCCGCGTAAGATTGGAAGTATCTAGGCAACGTTTCGATGAAGTCTCATTCATCATCTTCAGGCTTCTGTCTTCAGCTCTGTGCTTCTCAGAGTGATGTGAGCTTGCAGCTGCTTCTTCCTTTTAACTGCTAGTGGGGGTGTGACTTGATTGGGTGGGGGCTTGGCTGTGTTCTGATTGGGTGGGGGTGTGTTCTCATTGGTTGGGGGTTTGGCTGTGTTCTGATTGG